GTATGTGCTCTGCACCCAGCTTAATGCTGCTTTCATAAGCATACTAATCATCTTGGGTTAGGGCCCATCTGTATGATCCTATGTTAGTTTATCTATTTAATGGCCCATTTCCAAATACAGTCACATTCTGCTGTTCTAGGGGATAAGACTTCAACATGAATTTGGGGAGGGCTACAGAGCACGTATCAGTCTGTAACAGGACAGGTACAGAGATTAGGAAGTGTTCATGGGGTCACATAGTAGTAAGTGGTGGAACCAGGGTTTGAATTTACAGGTCTAATTCACAGCCTACTTTATTAACTATATTCTGTATTCCTAAATAATGATATTCATACCTTGGTGGGGTTTAGTCTGCACCTGTCACAGCACTATGCATCTTTACAGTCTCTTATCTGAATCGTTGAGCTACATAACAAGGTCACAGGCCATGCATTTTGCTATGACCTTAAGCAGGATCTGAACCAGTACTTCATAAATAAATAAATATTAATTTGGGATAAAATAGAAGAGAAAAATATTCTATTAGAATAGAAAAAAATAGATGGACTGGAGATTTAGTTCAGTGGCATAAGTGCCTGTCCGGCAAGCGTGAGGTCATGGGTACAAAAATGAAAAAAAATAAAAATAAAAAAATTAGTATACTCTATTAGAATAGAAAAATGGTTAAGAATAACCCCTTCAGTGGGATAGAAACCACAAATAGTTTCACTTGCTCATTTATTTTCGTTTCACATCATTTTAAGCAGGCCTTAATGCCAAATGTATAAAATGATTATTTGTGTCATTTTATTTTCAGAGCTGTGGGATTTCAGATAAGGCATTGTGGACATGAACTTGCAATTCGCTACTCTGTGTCTGCAACTGTCCTCTTTAGTAAAGCTTGTACCTGACCCGCTGATTCTACTTTAACCCCCTAGCAGTCCCAGGCATAATAGTAGGTGGCTGGTGATGGCCAACCACCCATGTACTTTGTGAAGCCCCTCCTATGGCACAGAGGAATGAACAGAAGTAGAAGGGGGAAGTTTGGGCCCAAGGCTTTCACCCCAGGAAGAAATAAACCCTGGATCCTTGTGGGAGATTGTGACTGAACCAGACACCAGAGAAGCTAGAGCTACAGGGAAGGCTGCAGTCTCTTTCTCCAGTGCTTTCCTCTGGCAACAGCTGTGTCTTTCATTTTTCCCCCTGGTACTGGGCATTCAACCCAGGGCCTCATGCATGTTAGCCCAGTGATTAATCACTGAGCCACAACCTCAGACCTAACGCTGTGTCATAAGAGGACCTTCGAGTATTCCACTTGTGGGATCTGTAGGACTCAGCATGGGCTGTGGAAGCACAGAGATTAGTGCGTCCTTTTCAAGACCTTCCAGTGGACACTCTTGTAAAGAATAACAGCTGTACCTGTGCCCATTATTAATGGCTCTGGCCTGATGATAGCACAGGACCCAGCAACTTACCCATAGCTGGACTCTATCCTCAGGAGACCAGGTAACTCAAAGGCTAAAGGTTAGCTGAAGCTGACTGTGGTGGCACATGCTTGTAATCCCACAACTCAGGAGGGTGAGGTGGGAGGACTACCATGACTTTCAAGGCCAGCTGGGCTATGTAGTCAGTTCAAGGTCAGCCTGAATTACAGAGCAAGAACTTGTCTCAGAAAAATAAAAAAGCTTAGCTGGGCATGGTGGTGAATTCCCGTAATCCCAGCACCCTGAGAGGGACTGGGGCAGGAGGACTGGGAAGTTGAGCCCAATTTGGGCAACTTAATGACTTTGGTGAGACACTGTCAAAATAAAAAACAGAAAAAGATCTGGGGATGTAGTTCAGCTTGAAGGCGCTGGGTTCAACTTCTAGTATGAAAAAAACAAAACAAAACAGAACTGTTTAGGTCCTTGAGAGTGGAATTTAAGGCCAAAGGTCAGGATAGTCCAGACTTCCCTCTAACCCAGCAAGGTTCCAGCACAGCTGTGAGTGCCACCACACACTGTCCCCTCCCATTTCCTCCTCTCACTGCTTTGCTTCTAGGGCAGGGCTCTGAAGGACAGCTCATTAGACGAAGAGAGCCAGTAGAAATCCAAACTGCAGAACAATCTGTCTGGCTTTCTCCTGGAGCCAGGCCAGCCAGCAAGGACCAGAGAACAAAGGGCTCTGCAGACATAGGAAGAAAACAGTGTGGAACATTGGTGGTGTACTTTAAAGCAGGTGGAATGGATCAGTGCCAAGCTCTCTCCCACTCCCTGTTTCTGTCTCTCTGCCTGTCCTCTTGGCAATTTCCTTACAAGGCTCCATACTGCTGGTTCACTCTTGGCTGTCTGCCCTCCTGTAGCTGCTATGCAGATGCTCCTGAGTGGTTGAATACTGCCAAAGGTGCATATGCCCAGCAATGCAACTTTTCTTCCCAGATACAGGGAGTTGTCTGAAGTCTGAGGATCCTCTGGGTCTCCGGCAGGAAGGTGTGAACCACAGTCTTCCCTGGATGTTGAGGGGGAGGAAGAAGAAGTTGAGCTGATAGCTCAGAGAGGAGGACATCAGTTCTCTGAGGCACTGGCCCTCTGGCCCTTACTTCAGGGAGGTCCCAGAGCAGTGGCTACTTCTGCACTGCAGCCCAGCCCTGCCTTGCCCTGCCCTGCCCTGTGGTCCTGCCTCCCACTTCCCACAGGCTACCTGGTAATACAGTATTGGAGTTGATTGCAATTATTGTTGGGTGCCTTAATTAATTCATTTTTCAGGTTTGCTTCTATATATATGCAAATATATGCAAATAAGGGCACTACCTTTGGGTATTCCAAGAGGATATTTTATTCAGATTTCTCAGACTGGGAATGTGAGGTATATATGGGCATTCCAGAGAACAAGAAGATTGCAAAGATGGGACCTTTTCATTTTAAGACAACAGCCCATTTTCCTTGTAATTCCTTTCCTTTTTTCATCTAGAAATTCAGCCCTCAATGCTGTGAGAAAATCAGGAAAAGTGACACTATCTTTTTGTCTGTTTTCCTTTCTGAGATAGTCTTGCCATATTGTCCAGGCTGGCCTTCAACTGTCAATTCTCCTGCTTCAACCTCCTAAATGCTGGGATTGCCGATGTGTGCCACCACACCCAGCTGGACCCAAATTTAAAAAATGAAAGCCTGGAAGAAAAGGAAAGCTTTCAGAAGAATAGGTTCAGTCTGTGAGACAGGACTCACAGATTGTCATAGTAATTTTTACAATAATTTTAGAATGTTAACAAAAAGAGAAATGAGAGGCCATTATTTTGGACTGAGCTGCCCATGAACCCCTGCAGATTGGATACAAACAAAATGGAGTCTCTGGGGGCTGGGGATTTAGCTCAGCGGCATAAGCGCCTGCCTTGCAAGCAGGCGGTTGTGAGTTCGATCCCTGGTACCGATAAAAATGAAAAAGACAAAAAAAAAAAAAAAAGACAAACTAAAATGGAGTCTCTTGTGCTAAATGCCACGTAATCAAAGTGAAACTCTGAGGACGCAGGCAGATCTTTAGATAGGCCAGGATTCCCCAAAAACTGGAGATCCCAGCCTACCTGTGTCAGTTAATAAGAAAGTCCCACTAGTTCCTTCCCTTTAACCCTTGTAGAGAAAGTAACCTGATGTTAAGCAACCAGTTTTTTCTTAATCGTTTCCTTGTTTCCACCTCACAAAACCCACTGTTGTACTGTCACCCAGGGGGACCTCATTCTATTTTGTATAATTCACAAATCACAAGTAAAAGCCAACTGTATCTATAACTAAGTTTGTTGTCTTTTGACAAGAAATACACTTTATGTTCTGTTATCTGAGTTTCTAAATTAGGTACTGAAAGTGGATTAAGCCATACATTTACTGCAATCTTATCTGGGAATTACCAGATAAGTATTTAATACATAAATACTTAATTAGTGCAGACACACTGAGACAAGGGATACTCCGCTCCTTCCCGTTTTGGGAAGGGAAGGGAAACTATCATTTCCTAAGCAGCTACATGGTTGTTATCAGGCTGAGGACTTGGGCACTTACCATGTAGTTTGATCTCCATGTTTTTGTAAACAGTGAAGAAACAGGGACCTGAAGAAGTTCCATAATTTACAAAGGGCACAACAAGATCTCCATCTGTGCCTGAAGGTCCCACACTCAACCTTGGTTCAAGGGTAGCTACTGTCCTAAACAACCTACAGCACCCACAGGCCAGTGGCAGACCCTGCTAATCACAGACAAGACTGGTCAAAAGACCATAGCTCCCCGAGACCAAATCTTACACAACCACTTGTACAGGACGGCACACAAGCTCTAGGTTCCTGGCTCTGGCTTCCATTTCACTTCCCGTAACTCCACTGAACCCCACCCAAGGTTCTCTTTCTATCTGAGAAACTGTTCTGGACTTTGGGGACACCAAGCTAGGCTGTGTGACCAATGCGGGTGTGTGTAGGGGGCAGGGGAGGCCACAGGATCCGGCTCAGGAAGCCAAGGTGCACAGCTGGGACTCATAACGGCTCTACTTTGTTAAATGAATAAGTAAAGGGTCTGGGTGTGCAAGACTCCCCAAAGCAGATGCCTCCTTGTCCTCCAGAGTGAATTTACCGCTAAGTGATTACAAAGAAATACCAGGCTCAAACTCTTAGCTTCTTTTCTCCCCTGTGTCAGTCTGGCTAGGGGGCCAGAGCAGGATTCATGGTGACATGAGCCTGATTTGTCTTCTTGCAGGGCAGATGTGAGATGAGGAAGGCATGATGGACAATGGGTATTTTAGGATCTCTTCTGTAAACAACATTGGAAATTTTACTAATTTAAAAGGGCTGCTGGAAGTTTAGCTCAGCAGCGTAAATGCCTGCTTGATAAACGCAAGGTCATGAGTTTGATCCCTGGTACCAGAAAAAAAATAAATAAGTAAATAAAAGGGCTTTTTTTTTTGTTTTGTTTTGGTACCAGGTATTGAACTCACGACCTTGCTTTTGCCAGGCAGGCGCTGTGCTGCTGAGCTACATCCCCAGCCCTTGTTTGCTTGTTTTTCAGAACGGGCCTCACTATGTAGTCCAGGCTGGCCTTGAACCCACTATGGAGCCCAACTGACCTTGAACGCATGGTTATCCTCCTGCCTCAGCCTCCTGAGAGATTACAAGCATATACCACCACACCCAGGTAATTTACAAGTTTGAATTTTCTGTTCTTCTAAAGCTTTTCCTAGGGAAATATTTCTAAACCCCAGACACAAATGTGGGTAACCTAGGAAACTTAAACAATTCTAATGTTTATGGTTATGTGTGTCACATGCCTATAATCCTAGCACTTGGGAGGCTGAGGCAGGAGGACTGTCATGAGTTCTAGCCCAGTCTAGGCAACATAGTGATTTCAAGACCAGCCTGAACTGTATAAGGAAATCTTGTCTCAAAAGAATATGCTAATGCTCAGATTTCATCTACCAAGATTCTAATTGGTCTGGGTGGAATAAATATGGGCATCAGGAAATTTGAAAATTCCCAGGAATCATGAGTAGAGTGTCAATTTGATTTGGTTTGGGATTCATTCTAGGGATTGGTAGAGCCCACTTTTAGGTGAGTTTGGGTGGATCATGGAGATGTAACTTTGGGGTCTCTGTCTGTGTCTCTCACCCCTTCTGCTTTGTCACTGTTCCTTGGTTCTGCTTCTGGGCACCATGAACTAAGTGGCTTTGCTTTCCCATGCCTTTCTGCAAGGAATTTCTGTCCTGCTTTGGTTCAGTTTTTTTTTTTTTTTTTTTTTTCCTTGTTTTTGGTACCAAGAATTGAACTCAGGACCTTGCACTTGCCAGGTAGGTGTTTATGCCTCTGAGCTAGATCATGGACCCAGGTTCAGTTTTTTTTTTTTTTTTTTTTTTCCTCACCTCTTTAGTCTTCTTTTTTGAAATGGGAATGTTTATCCTGTACCGTTGTATATTAAGATTATATAACTTGCTTTTATTTTCACAGAGGTTCACAGCTAATAATTTACCTGAAGTCTTAGAAAAGACTACAATTTGGATTTTTGAACAATGCTGAAACTGTTGAGACAATGGGGAAGGGATCATGGCATTTTGGTTTGTAAGCAGGACAGTTGTAATGTGTTAAGCAAAATTATTAATTTGTTATTGTGGTTGCTGGGAGATTAAATAGGTAGATTTAAGGAGATGGGTTTGGGTTACAAATTGACAAGCAGTGAGTGGTTGTGTGGCTAGGGTGATTGGCTTTGAAATCCTCCCAGGGATTGGCTGAACACGTTTCTGGGTGTGTCTGGGTGAGTCATGGAGGTGTGGGCTTGGAGTCTGTATCTGGCCTCTAATCACATCTTGCTTGGTAATGTTTCCGTGCTCACTTCCTGGCCACCATGAACCAAGCTAGTTTGCTCTCTCATGTCCTCCTGCCACACTGTCTCTACCTTGCAGCTGACCATGGACTGAAACTGTGAGCAAATGAAACCTCTCTCCCTTTAAACTGTAGGTGTTGAGTATGCTGTTCACCACAAGAAAGCGGGCTAAATCACCACTTAATTCTAATGTGCAGCCAGGAGAGATCTGTGGCATTCTAATCAGCAGGCGGGCCTATTAAGACACAGGGCTGGGCCCTACCCTCTTAGCTTGTGAGTCAGTAGGTCTCAGAGAAAGTGTAGCTCAGGGGCTGAGAACCTGCCTGGCATGCATGAGATCCTAGGTTCAATCTCCAGCACTACAAAAGCATAAATGAACAATGAAAAAGCAAAAACAAAACTATTACCAGTGGGGCTGGGGATTTAGCTCAGCGTCATAAGCGCCTGCCTTGCAAGCAGGCAGTTGTGAGTTTGATCCCCGGTACTGATAAAAAGGAAAAAGACAAAAAAAAAAAAAAAAAAAAAAAACCTATTACCAGTGATCAAATACATACTTAGATTGTAGGTACTTTGGTGCCAAGAATTTTAGACAGTCTCATTTAATCCTCTAATAATTATGTTGTATAGTAACATAGACTTTTTTTTTTTTTTTTTTTGTCTTTTTCGTTTTTATCGGTACCAGGGATCGAACTCACGACTGCCTGCTTGCAAGGCAGGTGCTTATGCCGCTGAGCTAAATCCCCAGCCCCCGTAACATAGACTTTTTAACACACCACAATTTACCACTAGGTTTTACTCTCCAACTAAAATACTTTGTGAAAAGAGGTCAGTGGTTTAATCAGTCTTCTGGACTTTCCTTATCTTACGGTTGTCACATAGTGCTTAACACATAGTAAAGGAATGATTTGTTGAGCATTCTACTAGGTGTTTAGTATAATTTATTATAATTTCTACACCTCAATGATGACATAAGGAGGATGCTACAATCATCTGTGATGGGTGATATGACCAAGTTCAGAGAAGTTGACATACTATACCTAAATAGTTAGCAGGTGTCCAGTGCTAACAAATTTGTCTGATTGCAGAGCCTTGCTCTTATCCTTTTATATTGGTTTAACTGGCTTGTGGCCTAGTCTCACCGTGTTATCTATAGCCACCTAATTAAAACTCCAAGGATTTAATGAGCCCTGGGCATGACTGGAGTGGAAGAAGGGCGGGACAGGCCCTGAGAAGGCAGGTAGGAGAGGCCTCACTATGCTTCACTAATGCTCTTCCTGTGGTGTGAGGCACACAGTACATGCTCCATAAACACCTAATATAAAGGAAATTTCTTTTAAAACATCATATGTCAAAGATAGTGACAAAAACTTTAAGTATCAAAAAAATGGGATTCAGGGTATAGTTGGGAGTGTAGAGTGATTTTTTACCATTTGCAAAGCCCTGGGTTTGATCCCTAGCACCACAAGAAGAACACAACACAACACAGTACAACACAACACAACATGGCACAAGATACGCAGAGCGTACAGAAACTTTCTACCCACAGAGAATATCTACGTGATACACATGTAAGCAAAAACTTCCTTCTTGTAGACAGTGAACTCCAGGAACGTTTTCCAAGGAACCTAAATCCCAAAGCGGTATCAAGCTTCTCACCTCTGGGAGCTTCCCCAATCCAAAGCTGCGGTGCAAGGGGTTTTATCTCTGCCTCAGCCTTAAAGCTGACATAAAGTGGAGACGTCTTTTCTTTCTAAGGTTAATAAGACTTTTTGTTAAGAACTTATTCTGAGGTCCTCTTTGTGAGAAGAGTCAGGATTGAAAAAAAATTAATCTGCTCTAAAATATTTTTGACATTTTTATCCAGTTGTGAAATCCAGGATCGATCCTGATATTTAGCATTTTTTTGTCTTTATCATGAGGTCACACGCTCGACGCTGATGCAGAGGAGCCCATGAAACCTGGAATAGCCTCATGACCTGGTCTGATCTGGGGAAGAATTTTGAGTCCTTGTGATTCCCCCTGCATCTTAGGGGTTTATTACAACAAAAACAGGGTTTAGTGACATCAGAGCCTCAGGAGAATGCCTAAAGTGGCCTTACCATTATCTCGTTTCACATTGCAGCTTGACAGACATTTCTTTAAACAAAGTGAAACAGTTATCGTTTAGTAGAAGTTCCCCAAAGCCTCATGTGCTCAGAGGTGAGGCTTCCAGCAGGTGACAGGGTCACGGGTGCTGGACATCCGCTGATGAATCTGGAGTTGACCTGTGGTTAGCAAGTGGGGCATGGTTGGGGGAGGTGGGTCCCTGAGTTCCTGACCTTGGCCGTATCTCCCTCCCTTCACTCTCTGCTTCTTGGTCATCATGAGGTGAGCAGCTTTCCTCCACCCAGACCCTTCGCTATGCCAGCCCTACATGAAGCCAGATGCCCATGTATTGGGACCTCTGGAAACCATGGGCCTTAACAAATCTCTCCTCCTTTTAATTGTGAGTGTCAGCTCTTCTGTCTCAGTGGTGAGAAAGTGACTGAGACACCAACATTGGCAATTTTTGGACAGGTTCTAAAAGAAAAACTTGAAGCCAAGCACACAGACATAGATCTGTAACTTGAGCATTTGGGAAGATGAGGCAGGAGTATTCCAAGTTTGAATTTCATCTGAGCAACTTAATGAGACCCCATCTCAACATAAAAAAAAAATCTGTTTTAAGGGATTGAGAATGTAACCCAATGTAAAAGCTGTAGATTCACTAAAAACAGAAAGAAAGGGGCAGGAATATATCTCAGTAGCACAGTGCCTGCCTGACAAATGCAAGGTCTTGAGTTCGATTATCAGTACCAAAAAGAAGAAAGAAAGGAAGAAAGGAAGGAAGGAAGGAAGGAAGAAAGGAAGAAAAGACAACTTGATATTTACTCAAATCATTGATCTAGGCACCCTAACTCCTGCCACAGAATAAGTCAAGTTTGGTGTACACAGAGCAGAGAGCTGGGAGACGCCAATATAGCAACCACCAGTTTTGTGTGGGTCCCTCTCTGAGTGAACAGCAGTGATAATTCCACTCATACAGGCATTTAAAGGGCCACCTAGACTCAAGCAAGCCATTTTCAAATGAGCCTGTTAACTTCAGAAAAAGTGGCCTTTGTTCCTGGGATGCCTTTCTCTAAAATATCAAGGGTTTTATGAATCAGTAAAGAAAGGTTTGATTATTATCCTTGCTGTGGTCCAAGGTGAGGAGAGAGAGGTGGCAGAGGCAGGAGGAAACCAGGGTAGAAAGAGAGATTAAGAGATAAAGAGAGCACTGCATGGGGGTGGGTGAGCAGGGGAGCAGGACAGGAAGTTGGCAGAGAGAGAAAGTCCAGGATGGGTAGAAGAAAAACCAGAAGCTCCCATGGCAATCTAAGGAGGGCAGCAGCATGTTGACCACGCTAGGGCTCAGACATCACCCAGAAACATGTCCACCCCACAGCCAGATATGAGGCAGATGTGGGGGCACTGACCCTTGATAACCCTGGCTGCCTGGGGCCTCACTTCCTGTGCTGGGCTCCTGCCTGCACAGGCTTTTCCCTGAGCCCACAGGATCCCTGAATGGTCCTTAGCCGGGGAAGCCCCTTCACTCTTTCCACCGACCTTGCAGCGGGGCTCTCTGGGTGTTCGGGCACGCACATTAACCTAAACCCGCAGGGCTGGGGCACAGACTGGAGCCTAGGCCGCGTGCAGAGCGTAGGCATGGGCAAAAGTAGGAACTGAAAATGTGTCGGGAGCTGATGCTGGGCCCCTGGCTTCTTCCTGCAGGTGATGCAATAGCTTCAGCCGCAGGTGGTAGTGGCAGTGGCTGAGCTGCAGCGGTGGGAGTGTTTGCAACTGCGAGAGGCTGGAATTTACCTTGCTGTGCCGCCTCAAGCTTCCTGTTCTAGGGGCTGCAAGGACATTGTGTTACAGATGGGGGAAGGGGAGAGAATCTCAGTGTGGGGAGGGACTAGGTGTGCCTTTAAAACAGCAGATATAGCTGATCTGGTTCTGTGGGTATTTGCCTGACCCTGCAGAAGTGACTGGAGTTTCCCTAAATATAAAATAGGACCATGGTGATAACTCCATCTTGGGTTGTCACAAAATGGGATACCTTTTGTAACCTTGAGCCTGACACTCAGTAGCGCTCAACAAGCAGGAGTTGGTTTGATTATAGCCCAGGACTGTGCAGGTATGCAGTAAGAGACTTGTGTCAGCCCCTGATCCTAAACCCTGCTGAGCCAGGCTTTTATTCAAGTTATGGCACCTTGAAGCCACAGAGCAAGGACAGACGTGTGAGTGTTGGAAGGTCACCCATGGGTGGCAGGGCTGGGTGCTGAGTTCGGCTCTTCCACTGTATAGCCTGGAGCTCTTTCTACATGGATGACTGGTGGGCATTGAGAGCAGGGAAGTGCCAGGTGTGGTGTTGCGGTGTAGCACACCTGTAATCCCAGCATTTGGGAGGCTGAGACAGGACAATTGCTATGACTTTAAGGCTGTCCTGAACTGCACAGTAAAATCTTGTTTAAAAAAAAACAAAAACAGCAGGGAAGAAGTGGTTGTCAACCATTTCCAGATACCATCATACAAGGAAAAGGCAAAAACCAGCTAGGGAAGGCTCAGCCTGCCTGGGAAGGTTGTGATTCTGTCCCTATCTCGTTCTAGCTCTTTCTGCAGCACCCTCCTCCTGTCTCCAGCATCTGTTTGAGCTGTGTGTAGTATGTGAGAGTTCACATTTGGGAAGGATGCTGGTATGCTCAGGAGATCCCAGGAACTATATCTGTACCTCCATCCCTGTCATGGAGCCTAACACATGGTGGGCATCAACAGCACATATTTGGGAAACTTGCCTGGGAGACTGAACTCCTCAGTCATTGCCAGGAAGAGATCCCCTCTACTCTTGGGGACCAACAGGTTTGCTGTCAAGCAGCTGATTTGCCTTCTCAGCCCCAGTGCTCTTGAGCACCAGGTTCAAAACCTGGAGAACATGTCCCTACATGTTCCAGGTGACAGGTTTCCTTGATAGCAATGGGTTGTTCTGAGATTTCCTTACCAATCCTAAAGAAGAGTGTGCACTGACATACTTGATGTGACTCTGGAAAGAAGCAGAGCCAGAGGAAGTGTATTTTGATTGGATTTTCCCTTTCCTTGCCAGGATGAAGCTAATTTCTTTTCCATGGGCTGAGTAGCAAGTAGGAAGCTGAGGACGCTGCTCATAGGCTTGCAGTTTTTCTGTAAATTTGTCTCCATGCAGTTAATAAATGTCATCATGTGTGGTGTCTAGTGGAGTGCTCTGAGGGGACCAGGAGTAGGTGACATCAATTTTATTTCCTAGAAGGATCCTCTCTGTTGATGAGAAGAAATAGAAGCAGGCAGATGCAATGTGGATAGGACACTTTTTGGAAATCCCCAATTGCAGTGTTCTTTCCATTTTCTAATACAGAACTGGTTTTATTTTGCTTTGTTTTGTTATGTTGTACTGTAGATTGAACCTAGAATCTTGTACATGCTAGGGGAATACTCCGGCCTTTTAACTTTTGAGACTAGATCTTTCTAAGTTGCCCAGGATGGCCTTGAACTTTCAATCCTCCTACCTCAGGCTCCTGAGTGGGGATTATAGGTATGTACCACGGTGCCAGACTTCATGCCTGTCTTTTAGGTTGTCCTAGGCTGCAGCATGACACCTTTAGTCCTTAGGCTGAATCTCCAGATGCTTCTTCTTACCTGCCTTTTCTAGTTGAATTTCATATGAATCAGTGGTTGGCTGGCAGGTAGTGCACTCACTGACTAAAAGTTCATATCTTTCCACTTGCACAAATAGCAGAAGCCAATCTGTCTGTTCTAGTTCTCTCTCTCTCTCTCTCTCTCTCTCTCTCTCTCTGTCTCTGTCTCTCTGGGTGTGTGTGTATGTGTGTCTGTCTGTCTGTCTATCTCACATACACACACCTACATCATGTGCTGTACAACTCAAGGACCCCTTGAAGACTTTATTACATCCATGATCCCTGCTGCAGGGAGTTAAGAGGTAAGGGGTCAAGCACTATGGGCTCCCCCACTTTACCCATAAATCAGTTTCTAATCTAACCCCTGCCTGAGGGTTGAGTTACAAACCTCAGTAACCTCAGGGCAGCCTGCCTGGTAATTCCTATTATTCAGCTGTCAGCTGGTTTTTTAAAAGCCACCCTTCCCAATGATCCAGTTACAAGAGTTTCAGAGCCCAGGCCTTGTCTCTGGAAGAAATCCTATAGCCAGGTGAAACAATGGAGAGGGTTCCTGCCTGCTTTCCAAGGGAGCTGGGTTTTCTCTTCAGTTCTGAGCAGCCTCCCTTAACTCTTTGCATCCCTCCCAGGCTGTGGGGAAGACCTGTCTCGCCCTCAGCCTTTACACTGATGCCTTTCAGAGCCACTCTGTGTTTCTCTGAAGACCCTGCTTGCAAAGCAGCATCAGTCAGCAGAAAAGAGAACAAATTAGAGTGTGGGGTGGCAGGAAAAAGGGAAGAAATATTCCAAAATAGAGGCTGCTATGGTTGCAATGTGCATTCTGGGCCTAGTCCTAAGGCAGCGCCCATCATTTCTAAGGTGCTGTTGTTTTCAGGGGACTCACAGCCTGGAACCCTCGCCAGCAGGTCTGGACACAGCTCAGTGCCTGTGCAGGAAAGAGACGAAGAGTGCTGAGAGGGAGGGGTCTGCTCTGATGGTGATGAGAGGTGGCAGTGGGGCTCCTGACCTCCCTGATCCCTTTATCCCTGAAGGCCTTCTCTGGGCCTCTAGCTCAGAAGCCTGGGCCTCCTGCTGCTTGACATTAGAGGCTGAGGGCACCTGAGGCCAAGCCACAGTTGTCTTTCAGAACAAACCCAAGGGAGCAGGCTGGGAAGGTTGGGGGAGGTCTTAGAAGGAATATTACTGGGGTTGAGCACCCCCCTAAAATTTCCCCAGGTCTGTTAAGCACTACTAAGATGCTTTTCCTGCTCCCTAGCCCTTACAATAGTGATTTTTTTTTTTTTTTAATTGAGACAGGGTTCCTATGCAGTGCAGGTTGGCCTTTAACTCACTATGTGGTCCAGGCTGGCCTTGAACTTCCTGTCTCATCCTCCTGAGTGCTGAGATTACAGGTGTGCATCACAACAATCTGCCTACCATACCGATTTCTTTCCTTCCCTTCCCTTCCCTTCCCTTCCCTTCCCTTCCCTTCCCTTCCCTTCCCTTCCTTTCCCTTCCCTTCCTCCCTCCTTCCCTTCTCCCTCCCCTCCCCTCCCCTCCCCTCCCCTTCCCTTCCCTTCCCTTCTCCCGGAGATTTGAACACAGGGTCTTCACATTGAGCTGTTTCCCCAGTCCTTTTTTCATTTTTTAAATTTTGAAACAGGGTCTCAGTAAGTCACTAAGTTGGCCATCTTGGTTTGAATTTTCAATCTTCCTGCTTTAGCCTCCCCAAATGTTGAGATTACAGATGTGCCCCCAGTGTGCCCAGTTTACAATAGTAATTTTTAACCTTTTATAAAGCCATAGATCTCTTTGGGAAATTGTTATAAGCTATGAAGCCAGCCCATCCACAAAAATATTTGTGTGTATCCACAAACATAATTTAGTCATTTTTAGGGGTTCATAGGCCCTAGAGCTCAGGATTCTGGTGAGCCTGTGGATCCCAGGTAAAACCAGACACTCTCAGCTTCTTTGCTTTGTGACCCACTTCTACCATCAGGGCCATGATGATACTCATGGCTTTAGCATCTGAGGTGGCTCAGGAGAACTAGGATGACCCACTATCCAGGGGCCTGTGCTGACCCAGAGCGCTGATCTGAAGTTGCGTTGTCCTTCGATGCCACTCTTGGCCCCACGGATACCACTGGCCAGCCTGAGGCACTGGCCTAGGTAGGAAACCGATGAAGGAAGAAGGCAGGGAGGTCAGTGCGTGGGAAATAGTGGCAGGCTACCAGCGCCCTCTCAGCAGCTGTCCCTGTCCTCGCTTCTTCCCTGCGGTGTGTTTAAGTCACCCTGACCAGCTCTGCTACGCTGTTTGCTAAAATGATCCATCTGCTCTTGGCTCCAGGATCTCTTCCTGGTCATCTGTCAACTCTTGGGAGGAGGCCTGGATGCTGGCCAACTGACTCTGTCCATTTTCCCTTATCCCTCATGTCTACTCCTTGGGGAAAGTATTTTCCTACTGCAACAGTCACAGTCCTCTGTGTGCCTGTTTCACCCCTTTCCAGGTGCACACTGGGGAGCCGGGGAAAGCATGGGTGTGAGACTGGTACAAAGACACCTCAGTCTCCATTGGGCTGAGGGTCCCAGCTCCACCTCATTAAATCCATGTGGCTCTACAATGAGAGAGAGGAAGAGACAGACAGACAAACACTTGACCTCATTATTGTTCAGGCTCCTATCAGGAAGCACCCAGGCTTTTGGAGGGTTTGTTCACCTCACTGATTTTGTTCTTCATTTATCTTTCTTAAAATTTAGGTTGGATTGAGTGACACATCTGCTATAAAATCTCTACTGCCTCCCCTTACAGATTCCTCAGCCTGGCATTCCAGGGATACCTCTGCCATCTGACCTGGACCTACTGGCTCATGCCCACCCTTCCTAATCCAGGTGCAAACTGATGATCAGTCACTCAGCCTTTCCTTGGCTCTAACACAGCCTTTCTTGGTTGGTCATTTTATTCTAGTGCCTCTAGACTGGGGTATTTTTTTTCTGGTTTTCTTTTATTGAAAATTTTTCAAATGCTGTTTGTTTGTTTGTTTAATATATATACCAAGAATTGAACTCAGGACCTCGCAGGTGCTGTGCCACTGAGCTATGTTCCCTGGCCCAGAATTTCCATATTCTTCAAAACCCAACTAAAAAAATCTTTCTGAAGCCCTCCACAGTCTTTGAATTTTTATTTTTTTTTTCTGCAGTACATATTAGGGGTCGAAGCCAGGGTCGTCCCACCAAAAAGCTATTTCTCCAGTCCTTTTTAATTTTTTTTTATTTCGAGACAGTCTTGATAAATTGATAATGGCTCAGGCTGGGCTCCTACTTGCAATCCTCTTGTCTCAGCCTCCCAGAATGCTGGGATTACAGGCACGCACCACCATACCTAACTGCATTCTGATCTTTTTCTGCAACACTTAACAGTCAGTATCCCCAGAATGAACACGATTTATGTAGTTTTCTATTATTTCCTGGCCAGCTGTCAGCTCCCTGAGGGCTCCCCAGATTTTTGGCTCTTAGACCAGCACCTGGCAATGAGTAGGTGCTCCATAAATGTGCAGTAGTTCAGACACGCCCTCGCTGAGAGGGCCTTTGCTCTCCTGGCAGTCTCAGCACTGCCTTTAGATGCCGCCTTGAACGCAAGGCATGTCAGTTGCCCAGGATACCTGTGTTCTGGATTTCCTCTCTCAGATGCTTATTTCCCCAGTGTGTGCTCCCAGTCAAGGACATGTGGGACCCTGCGATTGTGCTCGATCCAAATGTCACTTAGAAACAGCCCACCAAGGCTCGCTTCTGCCCCACCTCTATGGGGGAGGGCTCTCTTCCAGCCAGGATCTTCTGGGCTCTCAACAACTGGGCACCACTAGACGCAGCAAGTCCCCCATCCCGTTGTGGACGCGCCTCAAATTATTTAGCCCATTACGGAGGAGGAGACGAAAGTCACTTGTGGCGCCCCCTCTCCCCACCGAATAGCGACCTTAGGGACTCTGGCGCATCTGGAGCCTGTGCTGGAAGCGCAAGCCAAGCGGTCGACCTCGCTCCAGCTGCGCTTCTGACCGTGGTCAGAAATGCGTGTGGCCCCTTACAGTGTTTCCGAGGGAAGATTGGTACATTCGTGACCGTCCCTGGCAGCCTCCCAGCCCGGGACTTGGGCTACACTCGTGATTGGCCCGCGGTCTGCGTGACGCAAAGGGGAGGGACCTCGTCAGCTGTTTGCGGGATGCCCGGGGCGGGCGTATTTTGGAAACAATACCGCGCGGTGCGTCCTGGTCTCCTCCGCGCCCGCCAGCGCCGCCGCCGCCGCGGACCCGACCCGCGCCGCCCGCCTCCTGCCGCAGTCCGGTGAGCTCCGGGCGGCCGGGGGCCGGGCGGGGTTGGGTCGCACCTCCTCGGGAAGTGGGGAGCGGCGTCGCGCTGCGCCCGTTCGGGGGCCAGGGAAGGGTTCGGGCTGCAGGGCATCTGGGGTGACCATGAGGGTCTGGGGTGCTGGGCTATGAGGACGGGTTGCAGAACCCCTATCTCGGCGCGCTGCTCCAAGAGTAGGTAGCGTTTGGAGCCTGAAGGAATCGTGTCCCTGCGGGTGGAGATCCTGGGGCGTAGTGTTAGACCTGGGTGCCCGAGATGGCCCGGCCTCTGGGTCTGACTTCAGGGTAGGGAAGGGAATTTGGGGTGTCCTGCCTCCCTACGGAGTCTGAAGCTTCCTTTCCTTAACAGCTGGGCTTTCCCCTCCTTCCCCGTCGAGTCTGGGCGCCCAGCCCCCGAGTGTTCGTCACGCTGGACCCTGGCACAGAGCCCTGGCACCACGACTCGGAGGCCGATTCTCTCTCCTGGAGTCACCCAGGTCTGCGTGTGTGTGTGTGTATGTGTGTGTGTGTGTGTGTGTGTGTGTGTGCGCGCGCGCGCGCTCGCGGGCACCGTGAAATTTTAGTCACTGCCTTCTAAGAGGAGTCCAAGTTCAACATCCTAGTTCAATCTCTTCTGCTTTGGGTTGCTTCCTACGCGCTTTAGTTCCCTAGCTAGAAATAAAGCATTCCCTGGCAGTGTTCTCAGAAAGTACTCTCCTCCTGCCAGTGTGGATATCACTACTTCAAACCCGGGAAGAGGGAGAAGAAGGTTCCTTTACTTGACCGTGTCAACACCCCCTCCCGATGTTCTCAGCAGCAAGAGAGCCACCTGCAGTTCCTGTGGAGAAGGATAGGGAGTCCCCGGAGCTTGCAGAGCCACGCCCTCTGGCTACCCCCCCCCCCCCCCGTCCAGTCCAGGGAAGAGATGGTCTTTGGGGCTCTGCTGGGAGGGGGAGGGGAAGTGATAGGCTTCAAAGGAAACACCAAGACAATGACTCCTCTTTTGATTGGCTGTGAAGCACCTCTTCTTAGGTTGGGGTTTGCCAGCCGGCAGAGGAGGCTGAAGGGCAGAGGGGGAGCCCCTGGAAGGTGACAGCACTTATTCCTCTCAGGAAAGCACTTCGTTTCCTGTTGCTGATAAGCACCCCCCAACACATACACACATTGGGATACCCTATCCAGAGACGTCTGTTTTGTTGTCCTATCAGGCACAGCCTTTCCTGAGAAGAAGGCAGAAACAGGACTATAGGTAGCCAGGGACTGGATGGGGTGGTGGGAGGCTTGGAGCAAGTGCTTCAGAGACCTTGCATTGGGAAAGGCAGAGCTTGTGAATTTCACTGAGAATCCTAGCCCACAGACCACTTGGCTTGTGCTTCAAAGGCAAGACGCTGGGAGACAGAACTCTTGGGAATATATATTAGAGTCTAATAAAGACAAGCTTTGGACATTTCCTTAAGCACTCAGGTGGACGCTGCTTCTAGTGGCAACTAGGGGTCCTAAGAGGAAGTGTGGGGGTGGGGCAGAGAAGGATGGATCTGAGAGCAGACTTCCAAGAGCCATCAGGTGGAGCAAAAGGAACTTCTGTGTCACCAAGAAACTCATATCAACAACCTGAGTGGAACAGGCAGTGAGTGAGGTCAGAGAGAGGGCTGAATTTCACTTCCTTCTGTGAGGCACAGTGCAGTAATCTCAGGTCAGCACTGGCAGGAACGGGAGGCTGGGGGTGTGAGGAAGATTGGAGACTAGTAAATAGTCTGAGCTGGAGGAGGCTGGCCATTTTGCCAAAGGCTGGACCTATCCCAAGGCCAATTTGTGATAGGTAGATGGCTCTGCTGTGCTCGAGGAGTGCTGAGGAGGCGGCTACAGTGACTAACTTGGGTCTTTATTCCCTTTCCCAAGACACACTCTAACTACACCGCAGAGCTGTTTGTAGTGTTGTGCAAGTAGGGGGTGGAGACCAGCGTGCATGGCGTTAAGGCGGAGCTTAGCAGGTTTGGAGGGAACTTAGCTGGCCCAGAATTGCTGCTTTTGTTTTTGCTGCTGAGCTTGGAGTTTATCTCAGACTGAGATGAGAGCTTGGAGAATACTCCTTCAGTGATTGTGTGTGTGTGTGTGTGTGTGTGTGTGTGTGTGTGTGTGTGTACGCATGCATGGTGAACATCATTTATAAGGCCAGTCTGTCCTCCTCTGGCTCCCATAGCCACTTCAGAGGCTAGAACTTGTGTCTGTTTTCCCAAGTACCCTGTGTGCTGATAGTACCTGCTGTCATTCACATCCCTCGGCCTCAAACCTTGTGATCTGATTAGGTTAGAAGAGGTCAAGTGAAGGGTGGCTCTGACGTCCCGGGAAGAGCTTCTTGACATTGAGGCAGTTCACTTTTAGGGACTGGAATCACCCATCTCATCAGTGTCTAGCACAGCTGCCTCAGATAAAAAGGGGAAGCAGGAAAGAAGAGGGAGGACTTCTGGGTGTGGCCCAGGTGGGCAGCATCCCAGATGCCTGCATTGGTCCTTAACAGGGGAGATGGAGCCACCTCAGTGTGTGGAGGAGCTGGAGGATGATGTGTTCCAACCCGAGGATGGGGAGCCGGGGACCCAGCCTGGGAGCCTGCTCTCTGCTGATCTCTTTGCCCAGAGCCAGCTGGACTGTCCCCTTGGTCGGCTGCACCTCTTTCCTCTCACCCACTGCTGTGGCCCTGGGCTTCGCCCCACCAGCCAGGAAGACAAGGCCACTCAGACCCTCAGCCCATCCTCTCCAAGCCAGGGTGTCATGCTGCCTTGTGGGGTGACTGAGGAACCCCAGCGACTCTTTTATGGTGAGTGCTTTTAGTCTTAGGATTGCCCCTATAGAGATTGGGGGAAGGGAGGGACTCTCCCTCTCCAAACCTGTGCTCTGCTATTTCCTTCTCAAAATAAGCAGCAGAGGCTTCATCCCTCATCTTTCTGCCTTTTGCATCTCTCCTGGTTACTGCTTGTTACCTGTGCTGAGCCCCACACAAGATTCATTGCTTTACTCTTTTTTTTTTTTGCTCTGTTCGGTCCTGGAGTGATCCTGGGGCTCATGGTGTCTCCTTTGACATCCTGTTCCCTGGAGTGACTCAGTCTTCTGAGTCCTAATAGTGATTTCCCTTCCTGAAAGTGGCTCAGGTTGCCCGAGAGAAGGCTGGGAGATCTGTGACTCGCTGACAGTCTGGGGGAAAACCTGGCCAGTTTGAGTCTGGAGTGTTCCTGAAGGCAGAAGGTGGCCCCCAGTTGTCACTTGGGACTTTCTGTGTTTGGAAGGGGAAATGGAGAAAGAGGTTGGGCCTGCCTCGGCCCTGGGCCAGTGGAGGAGCTTTCCTTTTTTCTTTTCTTTTCTTTTCTTTTTTTGGAGAGGCTTTTTTTCCCAATCAGATAAGACTCTTCATTTATGGGTGGAAGTGATTTATGAGACATATGCCCTCCTTTGGCAAAAGGGCAGGGCTGGCCGCTTGGCTGATGGAGGGTGGGTGGGTTCAAGCGACTCTGCAGTGTCTGCCTGAGCAGAGTGGGACAGACCAAACAGAGTGGGCTACACTGTTTCCTGAGGGAACTGCTCCATGGGGCGCTGCTGGTTAAGCAAATACTGAAGGCCATCTGAGCTGGACAAAGCTGGCAGCCTGGAAAGGGGGAAGAGGAGGGAGGCGGCAGGTGAGCTAGTGCCCCTAGTGGCCAAGCTAGTGCCAGCATTTGGCTAGTACCTTGTCCTGATCAGGAGCACACTCCTGGGGGGACCTCCAGAGAGGAAGTTGGCAGCTCAAGCAAGACCTCAGCTTTCCCGCTACTACCTAGAGCTTAGGGTGCTGAGCCCACCTTTCTCTCTGCCGCACTACAAGAGTGAAGATGTCCCATGCTCTGTTTTCTTCCATGTCCTGCTTTGCTCACCCCAGAAACTCTGGAGGGCTGTTTGCTGCCTGTGGTTTTCCAGAGAGGAGCTGCAACCTGTTGCTACATTAATAATAAACTGTGGTCAATTGTGGCTTGATAAATAAGGAGGAAGATTGGCACACTCACTCACACACATTACCACCCTGCCCTGACACTGACAGTGACTGGAACATAGCCCAGAGTAAAGAGAAGGCTGGAGCTCCTCCTTTCTTCTCCTGACAGTAATGTGTGTGTGTGTGTGTGTGTGTGTGTGTGTGTGTGTGTGTGTGTAGGAGATTGAACCTAGGGCCTTGCACATGCTAAGAACCACTAAACCACACCCCAAGCCTCTTCATCAGCTTTTTTTTTTGTACACTTGGGCAGCAGGCAGGGTAGACTGTCCAAGCTTGGCAGAGTGCCCTGATGAAGGAAGGCTGTTTCTTTTCCCTCCCCATCCCAGTGTTTACCCTCAGGCTCGGGTCATGGCCAAAAGGGTAGACAGGGAGAGGATGCGCAGGAGAAGAGAAGCCTGAGATGTGGATCTTCTCTCTTTGCAGGCAATGCTGGCTACCGGCTTCCTCTCCCTGCCAGTTTCCCTGCAGGCTTGCCCCTTGGGGAGCAGCCCCCTGAAGGTCAGTGGCAACATCGAGCAGAGGTACAGATCGCCCGGAAGCTTCAGTGCATTGCAGACCAGTTCCACCGACTTCACATTCAACAAGTAGGCCTGAGGGCTGGAATGGGGGATGCATCTGCTGGGGCTGGGAGCCAGGGCCTGCCTCGGTCCTCCTCAGCAGCTGGTCCCTGCCAGGTGACTGTGGCCTTGACTTTTTGTCATTCCTGTGAATCCTGTGGGCCCGACTGGATGAGGATTCTTGTCCTCCTCTCTGAGCTCCAAGTTGGTTATCTACCTACTCTTGGCTCCTGCCCCACGAGAGCCAGAGCCACCGTGATCCCTCCTTGTGAACTGGATGGCTCTCTGCAGCTCTGCCTGGCAGACTGTTTTCCAGCCCAGGGTTAGGGCTTGTCTCTCATAGACTGGAGGGGAAGATTTTCAGGGTGCTGCAGTGAAGAGGGCAGTTGGGGAAGCCTGAAGAGGGCCAGTGAGAAAGGGGTAATCAGGCCAGGGGATGGGGCCTGAGTAGGGGAAAGTGGTGGAACCGGTTGAAACCTGACACTTTCCAGCTGGGGAGCCACTTCTCACTGTCTGTCTGGGAACACCGGCCGCAGGCCTGGGACTCTGAGCGCACCTTGGAGAGTCTCCCCAGACCGGCAGCCAGCCAGGCGCTCCGCCGGGTGCTTGGCCGGCAGCCTGGCACCAGCCCCACCAGGGCGGAGCATCGCGTGTCAGCCGAGCATGTGGCAGAGGCCGTCAACAAAGGCGGCGGCTGGCAGGCTCGTGCTGGAGGAGCCCTTGGTGCCATGGGCTGGAAACTGCCCTGTCCACAGCAGCCGCTGTCTGAGCCTGGCCCCAGGCGCTTAACCCTTCCTCACCTGGTGTGCTTTCTGGATGGCTGCCAACGTGAGGAGAGAAGCCTGAGGCCAGACTGTGCTGTTATAGCCACTGCTGAGGCAAAGCCATGCCACCTGGCAAGGAACACATTCCCTAAGTTGGGACTATGTCCTTGTCCTGGCACGCTGTGTGTGTCCTGTCTGTCTGTCTACCTGCCTGTTTGCCTGTCTGTCGGTCTGTCTGTCTGGAAGTCGAGCAAATAAATAACTAACATGATTCTGCAGACTCTGAGATTAGATAAGTAACTTAAGGTGACCAGAAGAGACTTACTGGTAGTAGTCAGTTTGACTTTGAGATCAAACTGTTGCCAGTACTCGAAGGAAGAGGATTAAGGTTAGGATATTTGACCTTGGGATTCCTGAGTACAGGCCACTGGAGGTTACCTGTGGTTATACGTTCAGGCGGGGCATTTTGAGGGAAGATTTGGGGCTAGACCCGGTCCTGGTCAGCTCCTCCAGCTCTTGGTGATCAGGAAGGGAGAGTGGCCCTGAGGTCAGGTTATCAGGCAGCCTGGCTACCTGCTTGGGTTGCTGCTCTCTTTGACTGTTTTATGGAAACTTAGTTTAGAGTTTCCCAGTGGTCCCTGTTGCGGTTTCCTCTGATTTTTCTTTTCAGTCTCCTGGCCTACTTCTTGCCCATTTACTCTACCCTGGTTGTACAGGCTTAGGGGTGAGCCCCTGATAGCTTCTGGGCTTGGTGATGGCAAAGAGACGGGAGGATACAGAGGCTGTTGCTTCCTAGTTTCATCTACAGGACATCTATAGTTTTCTTCATTCTCAATAATCTGACCTGGCTCAACAGTTGTTTCCCAGAATGTTTCCTATCCAAGGGGAGCCCTCCTCAGCTATGAGGACCCCTTCCCAGCTGGGGGAAGCCTCCTTCCCCCAGCTCTACCCTGTCACAGGAAAATGGGTCCTAATCCCAAGGTCTGACCTGCTCTTTGCCAACTGGCATTATATCTCCCAGTTCAGGGCTGCCCACTTCAGGGAACAGGCCAGTTCCAGACTGGTCTCAGGCAGGACCTGCCCAGCTGGGGAGAAGTAAAACTGGTGGAGGAGTACGTGATCCTTCTGTGCCCTGCACTTCATCCCACACTGGTGCCCAGGTTTCTGTGCCCCTGTCCTCCTGGCAGCCACTTACTCTCTTACCGTCTTTTTTTTTTTTTGGTACTGAAGATCAAACTCACAACCTCACACTTGCCAGGGCAGGCACTTATGCCACTGACCTAAATCCCTGGCCCCCTACTCTCCTACTTTGCTGGGACAGGAGCTGACCAGTAAGGCCTTTCTAGGCCAAAGAGTTGGTTTCATCAGATTTTCCTCTACAAAGAGATAGGCTTTTGTCTTCTCCTTGGAGAATTATCCCCAGTCCTCTGGCTTTTAACCCACACAGGGCCAGGGTGATAGGAAATGGAACACTAGCACTCCTGGACCTTTTAAATTCTGCTTTAAAAAAATGAATCACCTTTTGACTTTGATCCTTACATAAACTATGATGTAATATTTGATATCTAGAAAGTATTGTCACTCTGACGTTTTTATTTTCTTTCCTTATTCCTTTTCCTCACTTTCTTTTGTTGTTGTTGATGGTAGTGGGGATTGAACTGGGGACCTCACCTTGCATGCTAGGCAAGCACTCTACCACTGAACTACACCCCAGCACCTGCCATTTTGGTAGGCTTAGAGACTGAGGCATTGGGAAGGAAATTGTTCAGGGTTCAGTCTTTAGGCTTCAGGTACAGAGATTGAAGGCCCAAGTTTAATAACAGTTCTGCCACCTGAGTGGCACTGAGTTCTGCCACTTCAGTGATGCCATTAGCCATAGGGAAGTCCTTTGACTTTGCTGAGCCTGTTTCTTCTATAAATGAGACCTAATACCATGCAATTTTATCTTGATGATTAAGTGAGAAAACCTAGAAAAATTTCAGGCACATAGTGACTTTTTAGATATGATTGGCAAAGTCATATATATTTAAAGTATATGACATCATGCTTTGAGATACATATCTATTGTGAAGTGACTACAACTGTGCTAATGAACAGATTATTGCCTCACAGCTGTAGATGTTCTTGAATACTTGTTTCCTCCTGCTTATAATCCTGATCACTTCTGAGTTTGTTCTTATTGGCTCACAGTTCATTTCTCTCTCTACCTGCCGAGCTGACCCTGAGCAGACCTGACTTCCTTGAACCCTCTCCCACCTGCCCTGTCCACAAAAATCAGTATCCAAGCTGCTCAGTTGTAGGCCTTGATCTTATCCATTTCTCCTCAAGGAGTGGTAATTGTTCCCCTTCATTGTGGGCTTCATTTAAAGACCCTCTGAGACAGGCAGCCCCAGAGGCATAAGGTGGCTGGGGAGGTCTGAGCTCCTCCTTCTCTCCTAAATATGGAACCATGTGCAGACAACAGAGACTGCCCTTCAATCGTGTAGGAACTGTGAGCTCCCCCTCTGTCCTTTGTTATAAAAACCTCTCTTGGAGATATAAAACTGAGAGGTGCAGCTTGCAACAAGTTCCAGATTCCCCTGGGTGTCACAGTATGCAGGCCATGTGCCATCTCTGCATGTTTCTGAAGCATGTGGCTGGGTGGAAAGCTAACTTGGTTACCCAAGTGGTTGGTTCTGGGTGGCCTCTCTGGACCCACAGGTGAGAATACAGAGGTAAAAGGTTAGCCGGTGGTCACCATTAGCTCTTTGGGGTTCTGAACCAGAGAGAAACAGAGACAGAGTCAGAGACAGAGACAGAGTCAGAGAGAGTTGGATGCCAAGTGAGTGGAGATCAAACTTCTCCAAATCTTGCCATATGCCCTGCCTCCAGCTGAGTCAGGTGGGAAGGTTTTCTGCTTTGTTCCTCTAAAACCAAGGCTTGGATCCCTGATGGCCCACTGATAGAGCTACACTATGGTTTGGGTTCTGTAACCTAGTGTTCCCTCGTCCATTCAGTTTCTGAGCTCACAGGCTGCCCTGGCTGGAAAGTCTGAGCCTTAGCTTCTTCCCATTTCCCATGCTGAGGTCTCCAGCAAGTGCCTAGGGAAGAAAGGGAGAAACTGGTTCCCTCCCTTTGGAAAAACCTCTTGTCCCATTGACCCATCTTGAAATTTGTAGGAGTCTAGGTGATGTTAAGAAGCTAAAGATTCTCAGAAGAGTAGCAGCAGTAGGTCATTGAGTGAGTCTAAAGCTACAAGAGGCTTGGAATTCTTCATATTAAAAGTGGTTCCTTTCAGGGGGCTGGGGATTTAGCTCAGCGGCATAAGTGCCTCCCTTGCAAGCAGGCAGTCATGAGTTCGATCCCTGGTACCGATAAAAAACGAAAAAGACCAAAAAAAAAAAAAAAAAAAAAAAGTGGTTCCTTTCAGAAGAGTCAGATTTGGAAATTCCTTGAATAGTAATTAGATGTTTTGGAAAATGAAATTTAAGAAAAATTTTCATCATTCAGTTGAAAAGGGTTCTGTCATGAGTGGCACATTTAGGCAATTTATTTGCTCTGCATGTGGAGTAGACATCATCATACATCAGCTAAAACTGTCTTTAGTTGTGATATCACAGGAAGGATCCTGGACTAGGAGCAGATCTGGGCTAAATTCACAGCTCTGACACGTACATGATCTTTGTTCATGGGCAAAGTGTTAACCCTGGTGAGCCTGAGGTTCTAGTGCTTATTTGCTGAGTTGCTGTGAAAGGCATTAGAGAAGTATAGTACAAGTAATTTTTGGGGTACATTGGGGTGAAGATGGCATACTGGCATGCTCAGTGGTGGAGTATTTGCCTAGCATGTTGAAGTTCTATGTTTGATCCCTAGCACTGCAGACAACAACATACTTGGACACCTTTGGAAAATAAAGGAGTAAATTTAAATATTTAAAAAGGAGTTTGGGATTTCTCTTGGGCCTGGCTTTACAGTTCTTGGAGTGCTCACTTGGAAGTCATACTCAAGTTGGTGACTTCATGGTTCATTAACTAGCAGTTTCTCTGCTAGGCAACCTGGATTCTTTGTTCAGGGAGGGCCTGTTTCCTGACTTTTCAAGATGCTGTCCAGGTAGGGGAGTGGTTTTCTGGAGCTCAGATCACGGTTAATGAGGTCACCTGGGTTCTACAGGGGACAGCCCTGTGTAGAAGCCCTAGAGGTTTTCCCTTGAGTGATCAGTACCCCTAGAGAACCAGCATCTGTCCCAGGAGTGGCAGGTCCACCCAGGACAGTGCCAGGGGAACAGTGAGCCTGGGGGAAAGGCTGTGGAGAGGCTGTGTGTGTGTGTGTGCACGCATGCGCGTGTACACACACGCCAGTGCTGGGACTTAGGGG